CATACTGAAGAGATTAATGTATTTCATGCTGTATTTCTCAGTAAAAAGTATTTCCAAGCCAATGTATGACAAGTAATATTCAAGAATATTGATTTAAATATTCTCTTATAGGTATGAATATGCAGATAATAAGTGAGATAACCTAGTTGTGAATTATTTGGGGGTTAGTCTTTTATTTAAATAGGATCTTGATTTCTATTATAAGCTAATAGGGCTTTTTTGAAAATTGTGGGAGTTTTTGTTTTTAAAAAATTGAAAATGGTATTTCTTTCTCATGTTATAAGCATTGGTCTGGTTTCGTGCTGCTGTTTCTGCCCCCATCCACACCTCCCCTGAAATTAAATTTTCCTGCTTTATACTATTTCTTGCTTTACACCGGTTCCCATTTTTTGCATATAGCAAGTGGTATTTTAATTATTTCTTTAAATGCATAGACTCATGATCTCCTTTAAGTCAGGGTCAAGGTCTTAGTCATCTTAATACTTCTGGAAGAGTGTCCTATACATAATTGTTGTTCACTTATTCTGTAATGAATTAAGTTCTTGATAACCCCCAGAGATTGTCGACTCAAGGTATAAGACACTTATTTCCCGTTAATTTTTATTTGTCACATGGTGTTCATTCTGAAACTCTTAGTGTGTGTGCTATTGAGGGCCAACTTTATTCATTTATTTGTGTCACTAGCCCTGACCCTATTGCCCCTTGACTCCATCCCCAATATAAACTTGATGTATAACACCAATACATTAATATTTTGTGGTTGGAGGATTCTGGGAAGATGGTGGTGGTAGCAGCATAAGTTTTCAATCTACCTGTGTCCTCACATAAAATCCGAACAACTAGATCCCAAGCCAGAAACCTACAGACAACATTTACAACAAAACTGAATGATAAAGGTAGTACAAAGACACAAATGGTTGGAAAAAATACCACTGATAGCCTCAGGAGGAAGCAGAGGGGAGCCAAGGGTCATTTAGCAGACTTGAGGCCAGGAGAACTCCAAGGTAGTTGGGTGGCGCTCACTGGAAAGGACAAGCCACTCTGAGAACAGTAGGCCCGTGGCCTGCAGGCAGGTATTTGTGACTGGGTGGCCCAGCAGTCCCTAGGGATGCTCATACAGTGGAGTGGCCAGGGCCTCCTGCCAGGACAGGGCAGCTGAGTAGATGCTGCTGGAAACAGAAGAAAGCCTGAGAAGGACCAGGACAGGAGACCAAAAAAAAAAAAACAAGTGAGAAGATCCCAGCAACAGTGGGGAAGAGCATAACCAGAAAATCTCAGAAAGCAAGTGGCCAGATTTTCATGCCAAATGGAAACAACAGAAGAGGGAACTCTGAGGGTTTGAAGACAGGCTTTTCACCTAAAAAATGAGCACCAGAAAAGTACTAAGTTCAAATCTAAACTAAGTTTTAAGAAAAAATGAGTAAGGAGCAGGCACTCTAGAAAGGCATACTTACAAAATAGATGACAAATGTAATTTCCTGTTTTAGAAGAGGTACATCTTTAAAAAGTTATGTAAGGGGAAAGAACAATAGAAACCAAACTTTTTTTTTTTTTTGAGTTGGAGTTTCATTCTGTCACCCAGACTGGAGTGCAGTGGCACGCTTCCTGCCACCACAGCCTCGACCTGTTGGGCTCTAGCGATCCTTCTGCCTCAGCCTTCCAGGTAGCTGGAACTACAGGCGCATGCTACCACTCCCGGCTAGTTTTTTTGATTTATTGTAGAGATGAGGTCTCGCCACATTGCCCAGATGGGTCTCGAACCCGTGGGCTTAGGCAATCCACTCACCTCGGCCTCCCAAAGTGCTGGGATTACATGCTGAGCCACCAGCCCAGCCGAAACCAAACTATAAAAACCTTAAATGAGGTAACAGACTTCAGGAATTATTTACAAATAAAAGCTCATTTCAGAAATGAAGACTGAATCAGAAGGAATGCAAAATGTAGTCTCTTAAAACAATAGTCGTGTGTTTGATAGTACCTAACTATTAGAATCATACTATTGTAATATTTGTATATTTTTCCACTGAATTTGCTATCAGATCTTTGGGGTCCAGTTTAATTAAATGTGTGTACTTTTTAAGTGATGCAATATTTCTTATATATTAAAAAAATAAATTTATTGTTTTTCTCTGACTTTTTATTTCACTTAGGAAATGATGTTTCACAAGACAAGGCTGTCCACTCTCACCCCTCTTGTTCAGCATTGTGTTGGAAGTCCTAGCTCGGGCAATTAGACAAGAGAAGGAAATCTGGGTATCCAAATAGGAAAAGAGGTAGTCAAGTTATCCCTCTTTGCTGATTATATGATCCTATACCATGAAAATCCAAGAGAGTCTGTCAAAAACCTGCTTACACTGATAAAGGTCTTTGGCAAAGTCTCAGGGTACAAAATAAATGTGCAAAAGACAGTTGCATTCCTATACACCAATAACAAGCAGGCAGAGACCCAAATTAAAAGCACAATCCCATTCACAATAACCACACAAAAAATGAACTACCTCGGCATCTTCCTAACCAGAGAAGTGAAAGACCTTTAATGAGAACTACAAGACACTGCTCAAAGAAATCCAAGAAGACACAATGCTCATGGATAGGAAGAATCAACATTGTTAAGATGTTCATCCTACCAAAAGCAATCTACAGATTCAACGCAATACCCGTTAAGTTACCAACATCAGTGTTCTCAGACCTGGAAATGACAATACAGTAATTCATAGGGAAACATAAATGACCACAAATAGCCAAAAGAATCCTTAGCAAAAGAAACAAAGCAGGAGGTATTACACTTCCAGACTTCAAACTTTTCTATATCAAAACAGCCTGATACTGGTACAAGAACAGACACATAGATCAATGGAACAGGATAGAGATTCTGGAACCAATGCCTCAGTTTCTCAACCAACTCATCTTTGACAAAGCCTCCAACAACAACCATTGGGGAGAGGAGAACCTATTCAGTAAATGGTGCTGGGAAAATGGCTGATCACATGCAGAAGATTGAAGCAGAACCCCTATCTATCACCATACAGAAAAATTAACTATAAATGGATCAAAGACCCAAACGTAAAACTTCAAACTATAAGAATCTTAGAAAACGCAGGCAACACCCTTATGGAAATTGGAACTGGCAACCTATTCCTATTCAGAACCCTAAATGCCCATACCTTAAGAAATAAGGTAGACAAGTGGGACCTCATCGTACTAACGAGCTTTTGCAAAGCAAAAGAAACCATCAAGAGAGCAGGGAGACAGCCCACAGAATGGGAAAAAATATTTGCCAACTGTATATCTGACAAAGGCCTAACATCTAGGATCTAAAAGGAACTCAAATGCGCCAAAAGAAAAAAAAACAGCCCCATTAAAAAGCAGGCAAAAGACATGAATAGACAGTTCTCAAAAGAAGATATATGGACAGCCAACAGACACATGAAAAAGTGCTCAGCCTCACTCATCATCAGAGAAATGCAAATCAAAACCACATTGAGATACCACCTAACTCCACTAAGATTGAACTTCATTAATAAAACAACAACAGATGGTGGCAAGAATGTGAAGAAAATGGAATGCCTCTACACTGCTGGTGGGAATGCAGACTAGTGCAACCTCTTTGGAAGAAAGTGTGGTGATTTCTGAACTAGAAATTGACCTTCCATATGACCCAGCAATTCCCCTATTGGGAATATACCCAGAGGAATTCAAGTCATTCTACAAAAAAGATACCTGCACACATATGTTTGTTGCAGCTCTGTTCACAATAGCAAAAACTTGAAACCAATCATGCTGCCCTTCAAAGCTGGACTTGATAACAAAATGTGGTACATATACACAATAGAATATTATGCAGCCATAAAGAAGGACATATGTATGGACTTTGCACAACTTGTATGGATTTAGAGTCGATCATACTCAGTGATCTATCACAGAAACAAAGAACAGTACCATATGTTCTCACTCACAAGCAGACCTTGAACAATTATAATACTATAAGAAAATGATTGGCAGTAGTGGGACACTGTCGGGAGGGGTGGTGGGATTGGCAGTTGAGGGAAACTGCTAGGGGAGGGAGGTGCATACTTCATCAACAAAAGGGCACCTGCATAATCAACATTTGTATACCTAACCCTGAAATGTACCCCACATCTTTATAATAAAAATAAATAATGTTTAGTCTTAACATAATCTGTATGTTTGCACCATTTTTTAAAAACTTCAAGATCTTTAATAAAATAATACCCCCCAAGAATGGTGTTTTATAATTACGGGTAGCATTCCTTTTAATCTTCATACTACTGTAATGCCTCAATTCTGAAAAATTTAAACCCAGTATTCAAAAGATTTATTGTTGTTAATAATGGTTTACATTCAGTCTTACAGGTTCCAAAATATCTCCATATAACCTAACTGTGTTTTTTTAAAGCTACTTAGGCCCAGTGTCACCCTTGAACATTCATGCTGCTATTATTGTTGAGTTCATTTTTGTTTGATAGAAATTTTCAAGTCTGAGTTCCCACATATTCTTTTCTAGTACTGATTATTTTGAAACACTTTTAGTACTGAGTCATTGAAAGTATGTTCAATTATGCTCCCTTTATGTTATTGATTGATTGATTGATTGATTGTCAGGGTCTCACTCTGTCAACCAAGCTGGAATGCAGCTGCACAGTCACAACTCAGTGCAGCCTCAACTTTCTGGGCTCAGGCAGTCCTCTGCCTCAGCCTCCCAAGTAGCTGGGACTACAGGTGTGCACCACTATACCCAGTTAATTTCTTGATGTTTTTTATAGACACGATGTCTCAGTATGTTGCAGACACTGGTCTCGAACCCCTAGGCTCAAGCGATCTTCTCGCCTTGACCTCTCAAAGTACTGGGATTACAGGCATGAGCCACTGCGCCCGGCCTATGTTAAATGAGCCCATCTAGCATTCACAGTCAGTGTGTCTTTCAGTTGTGTGCTGCTTTTTGCACCGGATAACGATGAATCCCGTATCCCTTTTTGCAGTGTCTCAGTTTGAAACCGAATTCTACATCAGTGGACTTGCACCTCTCTGTGATCAGCTTGTTGTACTTTCCTACGTAAAGGAGATTTCAGAGAAAACGGTAAGTGTTTCTCTCTAAATACAAAGGGATGTGAGGCTTCATTTCTAACATTACACCTGGATTAGTTGTCCATCAGAGGCGTCTACTATAATATGAGCAAAATTTTCTGACCTATAAAATAAGATTGGCAGAGATTACCCTGTATACCTATTTACCTTTCAGAAATCAACTCTGCCTGCCTTTGTTCTTTTTGCTGAGCCAAGAAGTGTCTTTTTTTTTCTTTTTTTTTCATCTCTTGGTATTTCAGTCAAAAGGAATGAAGGATTCCTCTTGCTAAAAGGCAAAGAGACTAAGCTGACACTGTGCATTAGCAGAAATGACAGCAATGAAGTTGATCGGCAGCAATAACAGGGGTCCCTGTGGTCAGAGGGAAGTACAGAACGGGCAGTTGATTGTTTTCTTTGGCCTGGACATATTTGTTTGCTTCCCAATGGCCTAGTCGCTCTAAGTAGTTTGATTATTGCTTTGAAATGAATTGTTCTTAACCCTTGGTTATTAGTGCAAATGACATTACATCAAAATGTATGTCCAATAGAAAGCAGCAGATCATCTAAATTTCCTTATACATGACATTAGAAGAAACCTATATATATGGCCCAGTGGAGAGGCATACATACTCAGACTCCCTTTGAAGCCGAGGTTGGCCTATTCCCAGCTTGAGTTTATTGTTGGAGTCCAGGGGTCCTGCCAGCAAGAGGATAGGGGTGACTTTGAGGCATAAGCAAGGAGAGCTTATTGTAAAGGATTTTCTTCTGGATACTGTATATAAAAGAAATTGCAATTGATTCTAGTCCTCTACAGTAAGTAGGCAAGTGGGCTCTCCTTGTTTGTATCTGCTCCTTTTTATTTTTTTCTTTTCAAATGGCAAGGAATAAAATGGGGGAGAAAAACCCTGGGAGCCCTGGTTTGAAGTGGTAGCTGCTCTTGAGCATTTCTCTGAGCAAGCACTTGCATTAGGAAGCCATCACTATAGTAACCTGAAACTCAGGGTGCCCATGTTGCTAGGCAATGAAATGCTGTAGACTTAAGTGAACACTCAGACTTACTAAAATCAATAGAGCTGGCTTCTAGCCCTATTGCAGGACATCAGTTTACTATTATTTTATTTATTTTTGGAAAAGAAAGAAAAGCAATGGCTCCTGAGGGAGGAAATACAATGCTTTTTGATGAGAAATGTGGGGAGGATTGAGAATATGATTGAAAGAAATAAAAAAAGAAGCAGTAAGATGACAAAGGAAAAGCCTAATAAACAATTGACCAAAGAAAGAAAGAAAACCTTTGATAATAAAAGAAAGTGTTAGAAGTAATAAAAACCAAAGACAGGCCAACCTCAGAACAGATTAGAAAATGAACTTTTCCCAGAGAAAGAAGTGAGGGTCTTGAAGATGTCTTGTAAATGTGTGCCAGTGTACATACTTATATTATAGAACACCACAGTGTATCTTAAAGCCTTAAACACAGGATAAACCTACAAAATTAAGACAAAAGGAATGAAGATGTAAGCTTTGAGCCATTCCCTTCCCCTCAGTTTTTTTGTTTTGAAAAGATGCTTTAGCTATATTACATAAAATTTGTTTCTGTATTATTCAGTATTATCCCCCCAAATATCTCCCATGTGATTCCTTTTCCATACATGCATGTTTTCACATAGTTGCAGCCATAGTCACTTGCTACGCTGTAGTACTCTGTTTTATTTTTATTTTTATTTTTATTTTTTGAGTCAGAGCCTCACTGTTTCACCCAGGCTGGAGTGCAGTGGCACAGTCACAGCTACCAGTCTCAACCTGCTGGACTCAGGCAGTCCTTCCACCTTAGCCTTGCAAGTATCTGGGACTATAGATGCGCTCCATTACGCCTGACTAATTTTTAAATTTATTTTAGAGACTAGAGGTCTCACCATGTTGCCCAGGCTGGTCTTGAACTCCTGGGCTCAGGCAGTCCTCTCACCTCAGCCTCCCGAATTGCTGGGATTACAGACGTGAGTCACCATGCCTGGCCTTATAGTGTTCTATTTTTATGAGCATTATTCCATTCTCTCTGCATATGTATGTGTAGTCTCCATCATTATTTTGTTGAGTAAGTAATTGTGTATTGTCTCATCTGGTTGGTACACCCTAATTTATTAAGCTGTTCCCACAGTGCTTTACTTTTATTCATTGATAAAGCACATGTGTGTTAGGAATTGTGCCAGGCACTGGGGATCAAAGATCAACAAAATCAAATTTCTGCTTTTAGGAAGTTCACAGGTAAGTGGGGCTTTTGACCAGGAATCAGAAGATAAAATGAGACGAATCTCATTACTGATGCTTTTCATACACATATAAAGGAGCTTTTTCTATGGTCTAGTGAGCTGGGGTTTTTTCCTCTTTTGCTCAAAATAATTTTTGCATTACTATTCTGATTTTGATATTTTGGTCATTGCTTCAGCAGTCAATTTTAAAATATTTTTATATATTTTGGTTTTTGCAGTTATTTCAAAATTGAGAAACTTCTTATTTTTCCACAGACTTGATACATTATAATATATAAAGTACTAGATTCTTTCTCTACTAGTTGATCTTTTATAGTTGTTTTAGTTTTTGAATGTTTTCAGTGTATGAGATACAAAGCTAGTGTAATTGCTACTCAGTTAACCTAAAAAAATTGGTCAAAGAAATCTAGGTTTATTCTTCCATTTTGGAAACTTGGAGAGCTTGTTATGGTTTGGATTTTTTTCCATTCTTTTTGTCTTATCTGTGTCTTCCCTGTACCAGTATCATACTGCTTTTTGTATTGTTGCTTTAGAAGGTGACTTGAAGTGTATGTTTTATGCCTGTATGCTGAATACTCAAAAAGCATGAACTTTAAAGTAAATAGACTTGATTTCACAATTCAAGATTCACCATAAGTCCCAGTTTTTCCACAAACCCTAGCCTCACCATTTATGTAACTATGATTTTGGTTAATTTTTTGATCCTTGATTCCCTCACGTATAAAATTTGGAACAGTAGTACTTAACTTTGCAGGGTTGATTTAAGAATTAAATGAGAGTAATCTGTGTATAATCGCCTGCTAGGTTGATTGAACTGTCACAGGTCCTGAGTGAATGTCAGCTCATCTTTCCCCTCTGTTCTGATCTAGAGCTGTGTATCCCAGAATTATAGTCACTAGCTATATGTGGCTGTTTGGATATCAACTAATGAAAATTAAATAAGATTTAAACTCACTTTCTTAGCCACACTAATCACATTTCATGTGTTCAGTAGCCACCTCTATCTAGTGTCTACTGTATTGGGCAGTGCAGATACAGAACATTTTCATCATCTCAGTAAGTTCTGGTTAGAAGATAGCTCTTAATCGTTGGCTTTTCAACATTACCAGTAAGTTTACTCAAAGTGACAATGATTTGGATAATGGAGCAGTTTGTGATATTGTCCTTATTCTTCCTCACATTTGTGTGGAAAAGATGTAATAAAGTTATATAAATATAAGGTCGCTGTCTTGGGCCACCACTCCCCTGGAAGGTGAGTGGGCTGCAATAGTACCTGTTCCCTTTATCTCATGCAAAAGGTCAGAAAATAATATGGTGTTAAAAGGCTGTTTGCAGTGGGCTGTTAGAAAGGTTTATTGATGTGTGTCAAAATGATAAGACTAAGGCAAGTATGGCTAACTAGATTTATTGAATATAATATATAAAAATGTAGTTAAAATGAGCCATTTCCTCTCTTTTTCTCCCTAGGAAAGGGAATATTGTGCCAGACCTAGACTGGACATCATCCAGCCACTTTCTGAGACTTGTGAAGAGATCTCTTCTGATGCTTTGACAGTCAGAGGCTTTCAAGAGAATGAATGTAGAGATTATCATTTAGGTGAGAGATATTAAAGATCTGGCTGATGTGATTTCTTATACTTATTTGTTTTTTCTCCCTCCACTCGACTTGCACTAAAGGGAATTTAAACTGAGATGCTAAAAGGATCTTAGAGAATATCTGGGCAGGCCTCTCATGTTGAAAATGAGGGCATCAGGCCCAGAGGTACTGCAGAACTTGGCCTGAGCAAAGAGAAAGGGTAGAGATAAGACCAGGCCCAAGGTGAGGATTAACCTCCTTATTTGTTCTTGAATTTTTTTCTATTTTCCTAACTATTCAATGTGACACTTAATGTGAAGAAGTAGGGCTCTATGGTTGTCGTACCACTCCCCACTCTTTACCCCTAGACAATTTGCTCTGGGGTAGCAGGGAAGTTGTTTTTCTTTCTTGTAACCAAGTGCTCAAAGTCTGGAAGAATCCTGGCACATACTAGCGAAGATCAGTGAAGATCTGATGAATGGATGGACAAATACACTTAGTCACTGCTCATAAATAAGGGGAGAACCATTACTATTTAGTACTATCAGGGCTAACATTCTGTGCTGGGGTGTTATCATATCCTTTTAAAACATATTGATGAAAATAGAACAGTTAAGCTTTGTAAGAATTCTTTACTGTTTTAAAAACAGTTGATATTTTTTGAGAATTTTTCAGTTATCATTTTGGCCAAAGGAATTGGAGAAATATTCTGTACATATTTGAACTTTCTTATATAAAGTCCCTAATCAGTTGAACTTGGGAGATAGTAACTGTGACTCACAACCAAAAGCATCCAATTTAGGTATTTTGCTCAGAGCAAACTCCACTACACACTTAGAGACCCTTCATACAGGTTTTATAATTGAATTCTGCGGGAAACCCTCAGATTGCCATTGTGCACAACATGCCAAAATGATAGATTATGTCCCCGGGGTTTGGGCGTCTGTCATTTATGCCTTAGGTGGCCTTGACCTTGATGAGGAGGAAACATTTATCGCCAACTGTGGGGTGTAATTGTTCTGTAAAAATAGAACAGTTCTGTAAATGGCCCTAAATAAAGTTTATTTACAGTAGATGAATTCTAATATGCAATAGACATGGAGAATTTTGAACACTATTTTTCAGGCAAAGTCAAAGTACAAATGCATTAAGCACAGTATTTTAAACCCATCTTATTTTTTTAATGTTTTTTAGTGTTTTCTTATTCTCTCCCTTCCCCCTCCCTTCCTCCTTTCCTTCTTTTCTTCCTTTCTTTTTTTTTAAAGTTTTACACGTAAACATTTTTAAAAGCACTGAAATATATTTTATCATTCTCTACTCTGTCTGCCATCCTTACCTTCCAACAAAGGTGGACAGTTGTCTGTTTACTCTTAGTTGGGTAGCCTAGCCAGATCCCCTGGAGTCATTGCCAGGTTTTCTCCTGTCGCGTCACCACGTTGTTCTTTTCTCTCATCTGTAGAATACTCTGAAGGGGAATCACTCTTCTACATTGTGAGTCCAAGAGATGTTGTAGTGGCCAAGGAACGAGACCAAGATGACCACATTGACTGGCTCCTTGAAAAGAAGAAATATGAAGTAGTTTTGATTTTACTTTCTTGAAGATATTGACTGGTTTATAACATAGGATACAATTTTTTTGTTGTAAATATTTTATATAGTCAAATTAGAGTGCCTCAAGCCAAAATTATGTAGGAGGTTAATAACTTTCCAATACCCTTTTCAGAAATGAGGGTTTCTATTAAATGGAGTAGGGTTTGGGGGTAGAAGGAGGGAGTGAATTAGATTCAGCCTGTTGAAATGCTTTTTTCAGTAGAGCCAGGGTCTTGCTCTGGTGCCTAGGCTGAAGTAGAATGATGCAATCATAGCTCACTGTAACCTTAAACTCCTGAGCTCAAGTGATCTTCCTGCCTCAGCCTCCCAAGTAGCTGGAGCTATGGATGTGCACCACCACACCTGGCTAATTTTTAAATTTTTTTTTAGAGATGGAGTCTCACTATATATCCCAGGCTGATCTCGATCTACTGACTTCAAGCAGTCTTCCTGTCTCAGCTTCCCAAAGTGCTGGGGTTACAAGCATGAGCCACTGTGCCAGGCCAAAATTCTTATTTTGTGATTGTTTTTTCCCAGGGAAATTAAAATAGAGCTAGTATTTCAGAGTTGTCTTTTTGAATATCTTAGTGGAATCATTCATTTTATGCTTTTCACATTAATATTCACTTAGGATCTTTTGAACTACTAGTTTGGGTAGAATGATGATGTTGCCCACTGCATTTAGTCTTGGTTTAGACTAATTTTTAATAGATGCTCCAGCATGACATTTTTTTAAAGAGAAAAGTAAACATTTTTCAGCTTTAATACCTACAAAGGCTTTATTGTGTTGGTTTAGTTTAGAGGAACTCCGTAGATGAGCTTATATAGTAATCAACTAAAAACAATAACAAATAGTCTACCTACTTGTTTCACAAAGTTAGTAACTCCCTGGAGGAATTCAGGAATTTTTTTTCATTTATAAATTATTTAGAGTCCAAGAACTGCTACCTAGTTCATAACCCAGTTATTATCATGTTGCTTTAGAATGAGTAGTTTCTTTTTTTAAAACAATATAATATAACATGATGTTCAAAAATCTAGTTGTTTCTTAAAGAAATAAGTTTGTTTTAAACATTTATATTCAAGTAACACTTGTAAGCTTTCCAAAATAAAAGCAAAACCAGAGACTTTCAAAAACTTAATTGCAGTTATATATAAAGGCATGCACACAGTTTTCATTTTTACTGAAACACAAAGGGGAAATGCCCCTTTGTCAATAGATGTCACAAAGATTTAGAATAACAGCTGGCTTTTTTTAATGGAGACTAGGAGAGTTTGTTGTATTTTGATTTGTGTCTGAAATGTGATTCTAATATACTAATGTGGAAATGAATTCAAATGGAAATGAGAGAAGTCTTCATTTTGGTTGACTGCCTTTGTTTGAGTGTGAATTCAGTGAGGTTCATTCAACCATAGCATTAAAAATTTGAGTGCTTCAAGCAAGAGCCAAAGGAAAGTGGGGTTTTTATTCATGTAGCCCAGAATGCCAAAGCATAACAACTGTAGTGTTTATAACCTCAATGTCTTTCTCTCCCACCCTCTACCATTTTTCTCCCTCTTTTTCTGATCTTTTTTTCATACTTATGTAAATATAGGAAGCTTTGATGGCAGCTGAAATTAGCCAAAAGAACATTAAAAGACATAAGATTCTGGTAAGTGTGCAATTTTATTGTTTGAAATATAACTTTCAGTAAGTTATAATGAGACTGAAAGTAACTTGGAAAGAACGGTTTCTGTTATCTTTTGGGAATTTATTTCAAACTAATTCCCTGACCTGTGAGGTCAAAGTATTTAATTTTATCGAATCAGTTTCTGTTTGTAAACAAGAGACTTGAACACCTGAAGAAGGTAGTTTTAGGTAATTTGGAACCTGTATTTGTGAAGAATGCTCTAATACAAAGCTTTCCGGTTATGTGTATGGACGTTTCTTTAAATCAGAAGTAAAATCACATTATCACAAATTTTATCAAAAGAATGGTTTCATAAAACTACATTGCTTCAGTGTCTCCCTAATAACAGACTCAATTGATTTTTTTATGGAAACTAATCTAGGACATCAAATACATTTTTATTACATTTTGGGCTCTGGAAAAACATAGTGACTGAAAGGCACTTTCTTTGCTAACTGTGACAGTGAATGGGCAGATGGAGAGCCAAAAAGAAATCTTATCCTTCATGTGTGAAGGATCCTTGGAGATTAGATATCTAACTCAGTACCCTTGTTTATGGATGGAAACTTAGTCTTTTATGGCTATTTGGATTTCAGCACGAATACCTTCTGTCTACCTTAAACTCCTATAAAATTCCACATAGAAACCTTAATTCCCAAAGAGTGTGCAAGCGAAATAATTTAGGAATAAAAGGAGGGTGGAAAACCAGATCATTTTTTTCCTGTCAAAATTGTGGAGTATAAGCAAGGATTTTCTAGAAATGAAAGAGAAGGCCTGCTAGCCCTTAGAACAGTTAGCATGTGTGAAGATGCAGGGAAGTGAACCTCTTGGCCTGCTTCGTTATGTGGGTCAGTTGAGGGATACTATATGAGTAGCAAAGGCCAGATCCTAAAGAACCATCTGTAATTAGGAGCTTGGTTCTGTCTTGGAACCTCTAGAAGGCAATTTAGCTTTCAGTATCCCATCAGATTTCCTGATTAAAAAGATCATCTGACAGAGACAGAAGGCCAGAGGGAGGCCTGCTGAGACGGAGATCAATTAGGAGGTTTCCTGATAGTCTAGGTGGGAAGCGATGAGCCCTGCACAGAGTTGGTAGGAATGGAGAGGTGGAGAGAGATGGAAGGTATGGTAAACTTGAATCTTTGGGATATGGTGACTGACTTGATGTGGACATGAGGATGAGCACAAGAAATGTAAGCTAACTCCCAGACTTTGGGAGGGAGGCAGGGATGAATGAAGCGAGGGGTGGGGGGAGAGACACCGTGGAAGGTGTTGTGGGACTGAGAGAAATGATGAATTCTGTTTTCCACACATTAGTTTTAGGCATGTATGGGGCATCATAGTAGAGTCCAGGAAAGAAGTTTAGACTTAAAAATTGATTCAAGGGAGTTATCAACAAAAAAGTGTGAGTCAAATGTATGAGTTTGGGACAGCCCACATGGGGCGAGTATATAGCATCAAAGAACAGAGGAACATGAATGGAACTATCAGGGATGCTGTCATTCATTGCATAATATAAATACAAACAGATATGGAGTAGCCAGAGGAAGATAGTTTCATGGGAGCTGAGAGAGGAGAGAATTTCAGCGTAAAGAGAGTTAAATGCTTAAGAAGTTGAGTTAAGCAGGTCAGAAAAGTTAGACAAGCTCAGCTGGTCAGTTGTATGCTGGATTTGGTAACATGAAAGTAACTAGTGAGTTTTCTATATATGTATTATTTATTCTCAACATTGTAGGGATCAAAAAGTGAATAGGAGATTATAAGGTAGGGTTGACTGTAGACTATCAGGTTAGCTGTGAAATGGAAAAATGAGGGCTGTTGCTGGGGACTATTGCATCATGGGATGATGGTTGTCCTTGTGTATTTTGTGTAAGAGAGACACTTAAACATGCTATGCCAAGGAAAAAGAGGCAAATAGGGTTGACATAAAAGGTATACAGAGAGAGGGGTGCAGGAGAAGTTCCACAGTGGGGAGGCATACATGGGAGAAGGGTTGGAGGAATTCACTCGGAAAAGGAGACATCTCTTCTCATTTAGAATGATCCTCTGTAGATACAGTGATATGCGATCTGTTCTCAGAGAAATAAGGAAGTAAGGCACACTTTCTTCATTCAAGTTCTGTATAAATTTGACATATTCAAATAGTAGCCATTAAAGTAAAAATTTAATAAACCAAAAATGATTGTTTCCTTTCACTCTAGAAATGGGCATGTCCTATACATTAATTATGCATAGAATTTTTTCTCCTAGAATGCTATGATTTCATGCCAAACATGCAGAGAAGAGACGGGTTTCTACCATTTCTGCAACCAGAAAGAAATTTCACATACATCTTTTTGAACATAAAGTAGAAGTTAAAATTCAGCTTATCTAACTTTTGTTACATGTACTGAATTTAAACTTCCCATGAAAATGCTTTTAGGTGGAATAATATATCAGAAGAGTCATGGGAGAGGAAACAGGAGCTGTCCTCCTGTGCCTCTATTGACATTGGCCTCCCGAAATCCTTTCAGAATCCAGGTGGATTGAATGAACAAACATGAATACTCTGTAGCCAATCACTTCCTGCCTTCAGCCCTGGTTATTTGTATACTTATGGGTTTAAAACACATGTTTTTCTGAGTCCATTTTTACTTTAATATTTAATATTTCATGTTTCCCTTTAGTATGATAGTCCTTCATTTCATTTTCCTTACAATATTCTTCAGACTTGGAGTAGAAGGAAGCAGGTAGCTCATATTTTATATAAGATACAATAGATAGAATTTTATATCCAGTGACAACATTCTATCTTTGGATCATGTTTCCTTTTTTTAAAATTTGTCATTTTGAAGATGTGGTGTACAATTCAGGGTTAGGTATACAAATGCTCATTATGCAGGTACCCTTGTTGATGAGACGTGGCCCCCCTCCCCTGGCAGATTGGCAGTAATGGATCATGTTTCTTATATTGGTGCTCTCTTTGTAGAAAATCGCTTAGATGGGACAGTCTAGGAGCTTTTAAAATAGTAACATTATTTTTTTTAAACTGTGGCTTCTAAAATGTATGAAAATTTATATTTTGGACAGAGGCAAGTATAATTACATAAAGCAAACCAAGACATGTAAACAGGTTGCAGTCAAGAGAGCTAACAGGACCCAAATGTTGTGGGCTGCTCAGAAATTAAGACTAAACTTTTGGTTTTTGCAGTTTACTTATGAAATTTCTTCGTTTACTCTTCCCTAGGATATTGGTTTGGCATATATAAATCACCTAGTGGAGAGAGGGGAATATGACATAGCAGCACGGTAATGATGACATTTAAACAATTATTTGTTAATAACATTGACCCATGTTAATAAAAATAAGCCATTCTTTGCAGTTGACAGGTTTCTTGTACATCTTTCTAATGATTAATTTTTGAATATTAATTACTTCAACCATAGAATTAATATGTATTATTGGGCTGGGCTCAGTAGCTTAACCTGTAATCCCGCACTTTGGGAGGCCAAGGCGAGTGGATTGCCTGAGTCTGGGAGTTCAAGACCAGCCTGGGCAACTTGGTGAGACCTCATCTCTACAATAAATAAAAAATTAGCCAGGCATGGTAGCATGCACCTGTAGTTCTGGCTACTTAGAAGGCTAAGGCGGAAGGATGACTGGAGCCCAACAGGTTGATGCTGGGGTGGCCGTGAGTGTGCCACTGCACTCCAGCCTAGGCGACAGAGTGAGACTCCAACTCAAAAACTATGTGTATATATATGTGTGTGTGTATGTATTATTTCTTCAACTATCTCATTTTCACTGAAGAATAATTGCTTTTCTTGTTACTTTTTGAGAAAGGTGTCAAAAACTATGAGTAGTCTGAGATTTTTACCCTTTTTACAAGCTAATAGGTTAGCTGCTACAGTTTCCTGCGTGCTGGCCAAAGACATGAGATTCTTGTGTTGGAACTGCAGCACTATCTCAGCAACAGTATTGCCAGAGTATTCCTGCAACAATAGTAGTCACCAGATCATCAGGATTTGCCCCAGACCCCAAACCCCACTTCCCACAGTGTAACACAGAGTGGGCCAGGTGCCCTGCCCATGCAGTGGGGTTGTGTTACAGGAGAGGCACCCTGAGCTTGGGGTATCTGAGTCTTTTCTGATGGGCAGTAGGCCTACCTGTCCTTTGCCCCAGGAGGCAACATCACCTTTATTTACTGGACAGTTAACAAACGTGCCCTTTGCCTTGCAGGAAGGCTCTATCTGTGTCCTCTTATTTCTAGGGCTATTTGCTTTACAAGCTTCCTTGGAAGATAGTCCAGAACAAAGTACCTCTGCACACAATTTGGGAACTTGTTTCCCAACAAGATGGTAGCAATTCAGTGGAAGAGATCAGACCCCAAGGTCCTGGGTTGCAGGGGTCTGTGGTGGGCAGAGCACATAAATGTTATACAGTGCTTCCTGTGGGTCTATGTGAGTAGTTTCCACTGGAGCATGGTGATGCCTGCTGCGCAACATCTTCGGGACTGCAGGGCAGCCCTAGAACAGTGCTTTTAGGTCTGCTTTGAGTCCCTGGAGGTTATTTAAGAAAATGTGTCTGATGTGTAAAGTAAGGTTTCATTCATATATAAACAGTCTTCCAGATTATGTACTATGATAGGATTCTAATTTTCTCAAGTCTGGTTTTGTTATCCCATTATTTTGGGGTATGAGGAGTTTTTGTCAAGACAGGAAATGTCCTGAAACCAGCAGTGCTCATCTGGGTGAATGGAAAACTCAGAACAGGTACATCATTGGGAAAACTCCTAATTATGGTCTTATGAAAGAGATTCATCTTTATTTATAAGTATTTTGTGTTAGTTTGCATAAGTTCTGTCAACTTGTGTATGTAACCAAGTAACAATAATATTTTGATGTTCATTGACACCTGAGATAGAAGTTTGTCAAACCCCTGGGAAGAGAGATTTATCTAAACCATTGGGGAAAATGTCTACTTGTTCTGTCCTTATTTTTTAATTTTTATTTTATTTCTCCCTGGAATGTTTTTACTGCCAGCAAATGTCAGAAAATTCTTGGGAAAAATGCGGCACTCTGGGAATATGAAGTTTATAAATTTAAAGAAATTGGACAACTTAAGGTAAGCAAGGTGCTTTTATTGTTAATTTTTTCATGTAGTATATTAATAGTGAGATAGAAATAAAATTATGATAATAGTAGTCAGTTCTTAATTAGGAGGTATTAGCTCAGCTGGAAAGAAAAATCAACTTTTAAAAATTAGTTTAGGCCAGGTGTGGTGGCTCAAGCCTATAATCCCAGCACTTTGGGAGGCCGAGGTGAGAGGATTGCCTGAGCTCAGGGGTTTGAGACCAGCCTGGGCAACTTGGTGAGACCTCGTCTCTACAATAAATCCAAAAATAAGCCAGGCATAGTAGTGTACAACTGTTGTTCTGGCTACTTGGAAGGCTGAGGTGGAAGGATCCCCTGAGCCCAGCAGGTCGACATTGGGGTGGCCGTGAGCATGCCACTGTACTCCAGTCTGGGCAACAGTGTGAGGCTCCATCTCAAAAAATAAATAAATTAGTTAAAAAATATAAGCCTAGTGTAAAAATGCATATATGATATTATATAATATATGCCATATATGTATGATGTGTTCACTTTCTTATCTCTTTCCAGTTCTCTCTGTGTTTAGATGAAGTTTTCATGATTTTTTAACGACTTTTGAAAGCAGGGGTAATCTCTTCCAGTAGATTGTAAAACATAAGACTTGTTAAAATTGACTAAAGAATTAACGTATTTTTCAAATAATATTTTACCTGCTGGAAGAAAAATGGAAAATTTGACCACCTAGCTCTAATGAATAATTTTGATATTTCCTTTTTAAAAATTTTTCAACTTAGTTTACAACATCCAAATAACTCAGTCAGGTATTCTCATCTTTATTTAAAGCATTTAAAAAAAAATTTTCAGTGTTTGTGGGCTTTTTGAATGCTCTCCTGGAGTTATGAATATGCTTTTAAAAATTTTCAGTTACTCAACTTGTCAACCCTGGGATTCCTCCTGTGCTTGCCCCATAAGTGTCACTCTTCCCTGAGAAGCCTCCAAGGATATTTCTTCTTGTTGGGATTATTGGAGGATTTTGGCTCCATTTACCTTGATGGTCCCATAACCTAGACTGCTCTTTTTAATTGTGTGTGACAGACATTTCCCCTTGTATATACATACTGCTTCTAAAGAAACTCAAATTAATATAAATTCATTTCCTTTCAAAATTTGGTCCTTCTCCTTTCAGTCTGTGTTTATGACACAATATTCTCATTCCCTGGTGCTTATTAGCACAAAGCCACTGCTCTTGAGAAACATCTTTCTCTCCTCTTCATTCTATTTAATCTCCAGTTCTTGTCAGTTTTACCATGTCAGTATCAACTGGGCCTCCCTTCTTCCCCCTTTGCCACTGGCCTTAACTCTTGACTGAGTCTTCACAAGAGCCTTTTGATAGATCTGTGGGCAACCCTAGCCCAAGTTAGCTGCTTAAAAAATAGGTGAGGACTCTCACTTCCTTAATATCTGTTGCTTCCTTCCTGCCTATAGAATAAAAATGAAATTCCTTTCATAACCCCCTCCCCTTACTCTTCAGCCTCATCTCCCTTCAGTGGCCTCCCTTCTCGAGAAGCCTCTCTGGGCCCCTTTTACCTCACTGCACACAGTCATGGCTCCACACCTTTGCTCATATTGTTTTTCCTGCCAAATGCCCTTTCCCTTCTTCCTTTGCCTGATAAACCCAGGGCTTTAATCACAAGATTCCCCTCTACTGCCAGAGCACTTTGTTAACCCCTCTTTTGTTACACTTACCTCATAATATCGTTATTAACTGTTTAGGTGTCTGCATATCTTCCTTCTAGGGCTGGGAGCTCCTTGGGTATAGTCCCTAGCTCCATGTCCCCGGTAAAAAGCATGGTGATTGGTGCATTGTAGGGTCATTGGACAATATTTGGAGTTTGTTTGACTTTTAACACAGCACTCAAAATATCTGAAGAACACAAGATCTCTTTTTCTTAATGTCAAAAAGATGATTGTGGGTTGATGAAGGTTGATATATTTCAGTTTAAGGAAGGAAAGATGAATAGATGACCCATACTTCTTGATTACTTGAAGTTGACTTTGTAATCTCTGTGACCTTCTCCTACCTATTATTTAGATTTGTGTTAATTCATTAGGAAGAACAGAGAGCTAAAGGTTACCACAGGCAAATTTTAATTCATTCATAAGTATATGCATATACATACTTCTAGATATATAATTTATTATTTGGAAGTAGTGTTCGTTTGAATCTTTTCTCTTTCAAAATACCATTGTCTTAACATTTTAAAGTAAAGTTACACATTTATGTTTTCTGCATAATTGGAATAGTTTTGTTTTGCCACATTTTAAAGAAATTTTTCCTTTTCCTTCCCTAGGCTATTAGTCCTTATTTGCCAAGAGGGGATCCAGTTCTAAAACCACTCATCTATGAAATGATCTTACATGAATTTTTGGGAAGTGATTATGAGGTATGGCATGCTGACATGACTATATTTACTTGTTCTCGATGGGATATGTTAAGCAATCTAGAAAATAATGCAGTGGTACAACTGGTTTAAAGGAAAGAGATTTGCAGTTTATATGTGACAGATGAAATTGAGGTAAACTCTCATGATCATGAATGCTTACATAAAGAGTGAAAACACTTAATCCATGTGCATTTTAAACAACTCCTTAAAGTTCTCTCTCTGAAAGAGCTTTTCTTTAAAAAAGGGGCAAGTACTACAGCACTGTTAAGTAGTATTATCCCAATTTTACAGATGAGAAAATCAAAAATTAAAGAAATCAAATACTAGTCTAAGGCCATACATTTAATAAATAATCGTGCCTAATTTGAATTTAAATTTAGTGTTGTAAGCACTCACATAGACTATAATTTTTAAAGTTTGTTTATTTAACTGGTATTTATTTAGAAAACATCTGTCTAGTGCCTACTATATTCCAGGAATATGCTAAGGATACCCATACAAATGTGAATGAAGTGATGCCTATTCAGTCTAAGTTACACCCAAGCACATAACTGTGGTTCTCAACTGGGACTGATTTTGTCCCCAGGGAACATTTGGCAATGTCTAGATCCATTTGGAGTTGTTAGGGCTGGCAAGTTGGTGATACTGACATTTGGTGGGTAGAAGCAGGAATTCTACTAAACATCCTACATTCTACAATGTGTAGGACAACCTCCCTATGACAAAGAATGATCTTTCCTCAGTTGTCAGTAGTACTGGGGCTGGGCACAGTGGCTCATGCCTATAATCCCAGCACTTTGGGAGGCTGAGGAAGGCAGATTCCTTGAGCCTCGGAGCTGGAGACTAGCCTGGGCAACATAGCCAAACCTTATCTCTAAAAAAAAATCAAAAAAATTAGCCAGGCATTGTGGTACGCACCTGTAGTCTCAAGCTCTTCCAGTACTTGAGATGCTGAGGTGGAAGGGTCACCTGTGCCCAGGAGCTCGTGGCTGCCCTGAGCTGTGATTATTGTAATCTTGCCACTGCACTTCAACCTGGCTGATAGAGTAAGACCCTGATTCAAAAAATAATAATAATAATATTGAAGTTGAGAAACCCTGATATAAACAGCTACATTATTATACAAGATGTATATATAATACATAATTATATAATACGTTAGGTGTTCTGATAAAGCTAGAAACAAAAATTGTCATATTCTCTTAAAAATAATTCCTATTTTATCTTTTTTATTTTCACTTTAATGTTTAATTTTGAATTAAATTATTACATAATCAATCAACTAGCAGTGTTTCATAACACTTTTAATCACATGTGGAAGAAAATTGTGTGCTGCTAAACAGCACACAAGGTGAGATTGCAAAAACAAACTGTACTTCTCTGAAATATTGACTTCTCAATTTTCTTTTCTTCCTAAAAATATATGAAGTAATATGATATTCTTGGAGGTTAAGATGCTTGATGACTTGTTTGTATGGGATGCTTAGTTATATGCCTATAGTTTTGCCTGTTAATTTACAACCCAGCAGAGTTGTTTTAAATAGCTAAGCTTTGTTTAATATTAATGACACATGTATAAGCATGTTAAAAGTGGGACAACTTCTGGGGCATTTTATTTAACAAATTCTTTCCAACTTTTTCTTTCTGTAATAGGCACTGAGGTGTTCTGTAACTTTGTTCATTCTATTATGACAGCTCCTCAATGACTGTGTCCTCTAATTAATAATAATGGCCACAGGGTTGATCTTATCAGTAGTTTTTGAGTAGCACATTTATTCAAGAGTACACAAAGCCAATTAGGCAGAGAGAAGCCTAATATGAAATAAAATGCTTATTTCTATACGTGGTGGGATTATCAAGCTTTTGTCATATGCCTGGTCATCTTGTCTTATTTCGTATTAGAAGTTGGCAGTTCCGTGAGGCTATTGTGTGGAAAGGGAGAAGAGAATGAGGATGGAGTAAGTCAGACCTAAACTCTGTCTATGCACTGGTACATTTACAGAAGGAACAAAATACCTTCCTTAGCTGTGATTTTCATAAAAATAAGAACAGAAGTGAATGGCTTCTCAGGAGTGCTAAATGGAGATTATTGTACAGTAATTCTTTCTTCACAAGCCCCAAAGGCATAGTCTGTCAGTTGTTGAAATATTTGTTGATCAAAGTTTTAATAAAAAATTATTTGATCTGTTACATGAATACTTCTAAGCATTGTTTAAGCTATTTGAATTGTTCTGAGGATATAGGAAAAACCAAACTCAGTTTTCTTCCACTGTACTCTCACAATATAGAATATTTCTGTGATCAAATGTGTGAGTTTTTCCCCACACACCAAGCAGTCTGTTCTGCAGTGGACACCAGTTGTATGTCCTCTGATACTAATTCAGTTCAGTTCTGACACTACCTGTAGATAGCATCAGATGCCACAGGCTAAAGGCTCAGGCCCACAGGTCTGCACCCACTTCAGACACAGCAGTCACAAGTAATAGGGTGTGTACTTCTGACTGGTTAGCTATAAACTGAAGTTTCCACTACCCCTTTCTTGGGTTCAACTGATATGCTAGAGCAGCACTCAGAACTCAGGAAACACTTTACTTACATTTACCAGTTTATTATAATGAATAATACAAAGGTCACAGATGAGCAGCCAGATGGAAGAGGTGCATGGAGCAAGGTACATGGCAAGAGGCACGGAGATTCCACATCTTTCCCAGCCTCCAGGACCTGCATGTGTTCAGCTATCTGGAAGTGCTCTGAACCCAGTTCTTTTGGGTTTTTAGAGATGCCTCATTACATAGGCATGATTGATTGAATCATTGACCATGGTGATCAGCTTAACTTTCAGCCCTTTTTCCCTCTCTGGTGTTTGAAAGGTGAGACTGAAAGTTTCATCCTCTAATCATGCCTTGATCTTTCCTTTGACCAACCCTCCTCCTGAAGCTACCAGAGGCTGCCAAATACCAATCAACTCCATACAAAAAGACATCACGTTGGAGATTCCAAAGGTTTTAAGAGTGTGCCAGGAAGCAGAAGAAAGATCAAATGTATGTTTCATAATATCACAAGTCTTATTCTATTGAAAGAGTATTCTTTTTCTGTTTTTCCCCTTTGGCAAGGGTTTTGCCACATTGATCCGGGAATGGCCTGGAGATCTGTATAATAATTCAGTAATAGTTCAAGCAGTTCGGGATCACCTGAAGAAAGATAGTCAGAACAAGACTTTACTTAAAACCCTGGCAGAATTGTGAGTATATTTTAGTGCTTCCTTTTTCATATCAATTTATATTGAAAATGTTTTTCATACTTTAGAATATGGCAAACTCTGAATAGGGAGGATGCCTTTTATGCCACTTTTCTGAATTCACTCTTAGTAAACCCTTTCTTAAACCTCAAATGATCGACTAGAGGCTAAAGACAATATGAGAAACTATACAATTGTGGTATAATCTATTTCCCAAAGGAGAGAAATCTAACAGTACTCAAGAGGCAGTGGTTAAGAAACAGAAGGGCACCATGTTCTAGACCATGCAAGCACAGCAGTTTCCCAGTGGCAAGGCTCTGGATTTTGTTACTCTTGGATTTTCAAGTCAGTTTCCTCTCAAGCATCTGATTTTTTTTTTTTAATCTATAAGGTCACAGGTAACAATTCCTTACAGGATAATGTTAAATGAGATGTCATAATAGAGGACTAAGCACAGTGCCTGACTCTGAGTCAGGGCTCAAGAAAATGGCAGAAGTTGTTTAATATTTTTCATATTTTGTGGGCACTTTCAGTAACACAGGCTCTGTACTAGATGCCTGTGATACAGACATTAGTAACATATACTCATGCTCTCAAGGAGCTTCGGTCTAGGGAAACAGAAGTATACTGCAGGTCTATCCAAGAAAACTGGTTCTGCTTCTACCCCTCCTTGGCACCATCACCTCAGACTACTCCTTCCCATCTGCTTACCTCTTTTGCCTAAAACCGAGGAAGGTCCATAAAAATGGCCCAGAATTCAGGATTGTGTTAGACATTCCCAGAGGAGGTCATGTTTGTAGCATTCTGGGTTAGAACACTAATCATTTCTCTTGGAAACATTGTCCTAGATGCCTTTTAGATTCTGTTGTACTGTTAATAATGGACTAACAGCACAATATCAGTTCAGTTGGCTTTCAGGAACTGGTTTAGGGACTTAACCTATGTGAAAATCAGTGTTTCAGTGGAAAAACACATTTCAATTTTATACAACTCCCTTACAAATAAACTTTTGAAATATAACCTAGGTGTCAGCTGAATACTGCTTGTAAGGATTTTAACTGATTTTTCTGTTACTAAAATGAGAATTTCCTCCATTCTGGATCATGGGTTGTTTGGTGTATAGATTTCTGTAAAAATTTTGAGACTGGCCCCCAATAAAGAAAATTTGTATTACTTGAATATTATAACTAGTCTGAAATTTGTATGAAATCAAAGACAAAGTTCTGAGAAAGAAATACATATTGGTCATGTATAGTTAAATCCCAAGGAATGTTTTTCGAAATAAAGTAAACGTTTTTCTCAGAACAAATGTTTCACTTTTTAATATTGTGTAAATGATCTGTGTGTGTATGTGTTTTAATTAGAGCTGTTGATGAATACTAATGTCAAAAATTTTTTATTACCAGGTATACCTATGACAAAAACTATGGCAATGCTCTGGAAATATACTTAACATTAAGACATAAAGATGTTTTTCAATTGATCCACAAGCATAATCTTTTCAGTTCTATAAAGGATAAAATTGTTTTATTAATGGACTTTGATTCAGAGGTAATGTGCTTTTTATTTTAGTACTGATAGATCATTTTTACTGTTCCAAATTCTTAACTTAGATATCTATTCAAATGCTAGATTGGTAGTGAATCACATAGCTTGGCTATATGCTGATCATGCTTAGAATACTCTGACAATGCTAAATGTTGTTAGTTATATTAGTAGTTAGCATTCAGGAATCCTTTTCTTGATGTGATTTTTCTGTAAAAGCAATTGTATTTTGATATAGAACTTTTAAAGTTTTGTGGGTGTGTGTATATAAAGTAATTTCTTGGAAAAATATTTTATCAAATTCATAGAAACAAAGGAACTAGCTATATGCTTTGGCTCATTTAACCCTTTTAGTCTGTGTTCCAGAATTTAAAAGTTAAGCAAACTTCTGTCTTGATTCAATTAGTACTGTTTTATTTCTTGGCATTCACAGATCGGGCATGTTGGGTTTTCGTTGATTTCAGCTGGTGCTTAGGTCCAGGACATGTAGGATATGTTATTTCATTGTATATCTAAATAGTGAGTTACTTAACTAATGGGTAGACCCAGGCTCCACAGCTCACAGTGGCTCTTATAAAGTGATACAAATTCTTTGTGTGTGTGTTTGTGTGTTATAAAAAAGAAAATCTAATTATAAATGCTGGTGATAGAAATAATGAAATTCATAAAACACAGTTTTCTTGTTCAAAAAATTGAAATTTTACATAAGTCAAAAAGTAGAATCATAAAGACTCCAAAAAGAATAATGCATTTTTCAATTATATTTTACTGTATTTTGGGATATTATTTGCTACATTAATCTCCACCAACTTAAAGTTAATTAAGTTAGGAGCTAGATCTACTTCTTTTTTTCAAAGATGCTTTAGCCTATTTTCTTTCTTTTTTTTTTTTAAACTAAAAGAGACTACAGATTTACAAAGAATTATGCAATTCCAGGAAGTTCAGGTAGAGACTCTGCTTGTCTGGCAGAGGATGATTAAGAGGACGTGGTGTGCTTATATAAAAATTAATTACACTTTCCTCATATTAGGTCTCCCCTCATGCACCCACCCCCATGTGTCTCCAGAGCCTAGTTTTGCATATGCAGTGGTAGAAAAAAAGATGAGTGAGCTAAAACTAATTACTATTCAAGAGTATGAACCAAAGGCAAGGAATCACAGAGTTTTCTAATTAGAAGAGACCTTAGGGATAATCCATTCCAGCACCTTCATATCTCAGAGAAAAAAAAATAAGGTTTGGAACACACAGCTAAATTGTCTCAGAGTCAAGAACAGTACCCAGGTGTTCTGTACGAGGCTTGGTCTGGTGGGCTGTCTTCCCACTATGTCTTGTCATAAACTGTCTAATTTGTATTTCCTGATTGTTAAAGGTGGCTAAAGTACATTCTAAAAGTCCATAAACTTTATATCATTATGAAACTTGGGATATCGAATTCTCTTCCTGGCTCTTATCCTTTTCTCCATATGAAACCAACTCCTTATTGTCGGTGGGATCTCATAGCGAGACTTGATTAAGGTTCAGGTACCGAGAAGAAAAGCCCATTTTCATGGAGTAAAGAGATGCTCTCCATAACTACTGAGAGCCATGTGAGAATGTGTGAAGATCTCTGCCTCCAGGGGGGTAGAATATGTGTAGTAAAGATATTTTGCTTTTGGTAAGTTATAGCAAGGTATACCATTTTAGTAGTATGTAAAACACATAGACCTCAGATTGAGACACATTTGAAAATGCATTTTTTAACAGACTTTTTTATATAAAGGCCATTGTAAAGCTAAGAGCCTCTTTAAGAATATAAAATAAGCCCTTCATCTTTGATGGTGGTAGCATACTCTGCATTGTGTTTAGTTTTTTCTTCTTAAATAGCAGATTTCAATTACTGTACTTTTTTTTTTAATTTCAGAAAGCTGTTGACATGCTTTTGGACAATGAAGATAAAATTTCAGTGAGTGCCTTTTGTTTTTATATGTGTTACCAGATGAATGTCTGGGGCCACTATAACCATAAAAAAGAGAGATGTTTATCAGCTAATTTCGCAGCTGTGTTTGTGTCCTCTTAACTCCATCATTAAACTTCTATTTTCCCCCTAGATTAAAAAGGTAGTGGAAGAATTAGAGGACAGACCAGAGTTGCAGCATGTAGTAAGTATGGCAGTCTCCTACTTTTGCCCTTTGAATAGTTAATGAATCACCTTTCAGTACTGGTGTGAGGATACTAAGGTGAACTCTTCAAGGAGCTTAACACTCAGATTGACTGCAAATGATGTTCTGTAATTACCAAAATGTGGCATATGCTATGAATCTAAGACTGGGGATTAATTGCAGATCAGGTAATTGAACTTTGACTCACAATTGAATTGTGATGAAAAAAGTTAAGAATACATTTATATATACCTATAATGTAGATATATAAAATATAATAAGCATATATATAAGTATAATGAATATTTTTGTGTTCTGTACCTTTCCTCTGTAATTACCATTAAATATAAGAATGATATAAATTATAGCAAATGACACTGCAGATACCAAGTTCTTCTGCCAAGAAAATAACACACAATCATTCCACGTTCAGGACCACAGACCAATAAAAGAGCAGAGTCTTTTTTTTTTACTTCCTCACCCTTACAATAGCTGATCCCACTTCTCTTGTGTGGTTTTGCTGACAGTGCTGTTAAGAGCCATTATTCTAGATTTTCTTGGGGGGGGGGGGGCTACTTGATTCTCTGCACTGCATCATTATGGGAGTGAAGCAGGAGTAGATGTTTTCTTTGTTCTTTTAAACTTACCCAAGGAACGACTTCCATAGACATAGGGATTATGCCAGTAGGACTGTGGATTTCAGAAACAATGAGTGTACTTATATCTTTGCCCATCTCCTGACATCCCAGGAAGACCCTCAAGGAATTGAGTATTTTACACAAAAGTCAGTTTTATACATTGAAGCTCTTAAAGATTCCAGGGTAGGAATATGAGGCACTTTGTTTTCTTTTGCTCAGGGGTTGTACAGATGCTATTGCTATATTGCTCGTGATCGGAAATCTCAAGATTATTTGCTTCCCCAAACAGGGCTCTACTCTGCTGGCCACCTTGGGAATTCATTTGTAAAGCAGTGATTTCTGACCTACGTAAGCCATGAGACAGTATTACAGGCAGTAGCTATCTGTGTGACAATGTAATCGTGCAGTGGTGAAATGGTGGCACTAGAATGGCTACATCTTCCCTGCCAAGCGATGTATTGTCTCTGTAAATTTGGCTTGGCAGATGTGACAGAGCTTTTCCATCCTGTTCACACTCTGGGAAATAGCACCATGTATCCCAGGTCACATGCTGACCCCAGTGCCACTCAACTTATGGTGGCCTTCATCAGACCTCAGCCCAGCAGATGAGTTCGGTCTGATTGCTCGCCTCGCTCCCTCTTGCCTTAGGGAGATGTGAATAGATACCCCAGGAGAGGTTTCTTAAGGTGCATGTGACGTGGTTAGGCTTATTTGTGATGATATACAGCAACAAATACCAAACATGTGCTTACTCATTTATCATCACAGCTTCAGGGCATGCTGGTGCTCTATGTCTTTTATGAACCAATCCGCTTGGAGACGGCTTAGAAGTATGAATGCATTTTATATGACTGGTATAGTTAAGTCATCTTGCCTTTACTAGGTTGTGGAGCTTTTTGTTTACATGAAATACTAACTAAATGTTTAACATTGTTTTCTAACTTCTGAGTACTATATTGATAGACAATCTTGCCTGTGAATAGAAAGTAAATTACTCACTTCCTTTGAAGTCCATTAACGTCTTCAGACAGCTAGGGTAAAGTATCAGTTTTTAAAATTGGTTCAGAACACCTGTATTCATCTTGATTTTTATTTTTTATTTTTGTTTTTGATGTCACCAGTTTAGGCACCATTTCATTTTCAGACAACAAAGAGGAAAGGCAGAATGTAAGGGAATTAATTTAGCGCCTACTACTTGAGTTCTTAAGGACATATGCTTGTCCCATGACTCTATCCTCTTTTATGTAAAAGAAGAGAATTTTACAATCTAGAAAGACCAGTAATCAAGCATATTATTTCTGAGCAAAAGCAGATGATGATGACAATATTAACAGCTACTGTCAGTAGCATTCCTATAGTGCTTACTATATTCCAGGCATGGTTCTGAGTAACAAATGGCAGCTCATTTAATTCCCACAACAACCCAATGATGTTTGCAGATAAAGAAACTGAGTCACAGAGAAGGTAGTGACTTACTCAAGATTACATAGTTGGAAAGTGGGAGAGCCAGGTCCCTCTGAGCCCTCTTAGAAAATGTCAGAATCCCCTGACTTTCCTAAGGGGTTCTCCTTTCTGTTCCTTCATCACCTAGAGATTTTTCCTGAAGACTACTTCTACCTCAACGTCTCCATGGGAACTGTTTAGAACCAAAAGTAGCAATGTTGCCCAGTATTACTTTTATTATTTTAATATTCATGATGTATCCTTTGTTCCTTTCAGTATTTGCATAAGCTTTTCAAAAGAGATCATCATAAGGGGCAGCGCTACCATGAAAAACAGATCAGTCTTTATGCCGAATATGATCGACCAAACTTACTTCCCTTTCTCCGAGATAGTACCCATTGCCCACTTGAAAAGGTAAGACACAGACTCCCACACTTGTGCACATTGGGTAAAGAGTTTGTCATTGTTGGTAAACTGTCATTCTTCTCTTCCTATCTGTGCTCATCCATCCTTTTCCAAGGGGAAGATTGTTGCTTTCAGAAGAGTAGGCTTTGCTGGGACATTCTGTTTCGAAAAGGAGGCCTTGTTGGAATAGATTTTGGTGAGGAGTTCAAGCATTTCTGTAACAAGTTTAATTGGAAGAAAGGTTTAATCCAGGGCGTAGGACTTAATCAACCATCAAAGCAAAAATGGTATCAGGAATCTTAGTCCATCTCCCAGGATCAGTGGCACCTCAGAGTCAGTGTTTGGGAGGAAGGAAGACTGTCCTAAGGCAGAGACAGTTGCTGCAGTCAGGGATCAGATTTGATAATCCAAGGTCATAGCTTAGGTCCTATACCCTGCCTTTTATGTTTTTAATTAGAGACAGGATCTCCCTCTCTCACACAGGCTAAAGTACAGTGGCACAATCATAGCTTGCTGTAACTTCAAACTCCTGGGCTCAGGTGATCCTCTTGAGTAGCTAGGACTACGGGCTTGTACCACTTATACCCTGTCTCCTTTAAAAATCTGTCTTCTGGCATACTACATTTTCCATTATAATTATCTGTTATCTGTTTACTAGTCTCTCTTTCCCACTTTGTATAGATTCTTCAAAGACAAGGCGTTTGTCTTATTCATTTTGGTAAACCTAGTACCCAGCACACATTAGACATTTGCTTAATGTTTGTGGCATCATGAGTAAGAGAATGAATAAATTAAACACATACAAGGTCCTAGTTAGAGCTAAATATGGACTAGTAAGTTTTATGAGACTACTGTTTCGAAATAAACTGTAATACTTACTATGTATGTGCTAACAACTGATCAGTCTTAATGCTGACCGTATTATCCCATGGTTCTTGATACCATCTAATGCTAGCTAACATCCACAAATGTCTTATTAAATTTGGGTGGCCAGATAACAAATACTTTCGAGTCAGCTGTGTGTATCAACAAAATAAAATTAAGCATATTTGGTCCACAAGAGATATGTATAAAGAAGGTGAATGATAACACAATTTATATACGCTTACAACTTTTATATTTGCTTCTTCAGCCTATGATGAATAACTTTAAATGTACTGGATTTACCAAGAACCAATTTCAACTCAATGGATTTTTAAAGTCTATAGTTAATGAAAATAGTGTTACCTACATATTAACTTATGAAAAACTTTAACATTTTATATTTGGGGCCCCAAGACATTTTCTGAAGGTTAAATTTGGAAATACATCTTTCTCTAAAAATAAAAATAGATGTTGCTGTCTTCTCTCACTGTGGGACCTTATAATCTAGCAGAAGAGCGAGACTCATTCTTTGAACATACCCCTTCATTTGTTTCTCACTTTTTGAGGAAATATATGTTTACAGAGAGGGTGTAACTATCTCCAGAAGACTTCATTTGACTCCTCAGACCATTGATACATGGAATGATCACAGCCATTTTGGGCTCATTCTTCTCAGCCACTCAGCACAAGGCACAGACCAGATTCCAGTGTGTTCATGTTGCCCATACACTTTCAGCCCCTCTCGTTTAAAGTTTTCTGGTCTACTGTGCTTAATGGAAGACGCATTGTTCCACCCAATAGGGAACAGCAAAACATGTAGATTTTCCAATGCATACAGTTTGCTTAGAGCATTTGTGTAGACCTTTTAGACTTTTTCTTTCTGGTCCACTGAAAACAACAAATTGCATATTAAAGAACACAAGTATACTAAAACCAATTATGTTTTAAATTCAGTTGTGTTTTAAAATGTAGCTTATGTTTCCCGCTGAGAGTTTTGAACATGAATTAGAGATGGTGATCGTAGAAATAAACTATTAAAAATAATCAAGTCAGTAATTCACATTTTTAGAAGTCTCTAGATGGGCTTTCATGTGTCAGGTTATTGAGACTTCTTCATAAGAGATTCTTTCTTTGTCGGGATCTATTATGGGAAATACGTATATCTGCAAAAAGCATAACACTCTTCCCTGGGCACCTTTGGGTCCAAATACCCACAGCTATCTTAAAGGAGATAGTCATAACTTATTAATTCTTTTTTTTAAGTAAGAATTCTATATATACTTAATTATCTTAGAAACTAATTATTTTTATCTACCTGTAACATGAAAAAGCTATTATATATCATGAATGACAAAGTGTATTTCCCAATTACATGCATCCTAGGCATGCTAGCAGTGAAGTCAAGGTCATGGAATTTAGGTCTGCCTATTTTATCTATAGAGAGAGTCGTAGAAAATGTGGTCTTTTATTCTCCTGAATATAAAAATTAAAAACTTGAAAATTCTAATTCCTCCCCTCCTCTACAGAAATACCTACTTCAAAAGAGTTTATGGATTATTTAGTCTTATAGGTGCAAGAGGTTTTTTATTGTTTGCTTTTATTTTCAGTGAGAAGTGTTTGAAAGGCATTATTCAGAGCATGTTGATCCATTATTGTTTAATGATTCACTTCTGGCAGAATAGCACTATATCTTCCTCATTTCTGATTGTGTATCTTTGCTGGGTTGGGTAAATGTTGAGAGGAGGAATTATTTCAAATTGACAACTCATTGAAATCTTCAAGAATCCGGGCCAACCTTATTTTGAAATTTCTAAAATCCCACAATCAATAGTATTTGACCAAAAACTCTGTAGAGAGCCTGACATCATATCAATAGCCCTTTATGGTATAGTTATCAAAGGCCAGAGTTGAGGATTTAAAATCACCACAACACTGAATTTTTAAAATAATTGAAATTTTTATGTTTGTTTAAAGGAGATACAGAGTTTGTAGGAATTTTTAACACCTCCAGCAATTTAAAAAGACAATAAAAATAAAAATTCTTTATATTTCTGTTATACTTCATGATGTGTACTGTGTTTTCATATACCTGGTTTCTTTTGATCGCTAGAAAAGTGCATTTAGGTGTATAAAGTCATTTTATACATGACAACTTGAGTCTTAGGGAGATGGAATAAAAACCCCATGACTAGAGCTAGTAACTTCAGGAACCAAGACTTAGAATCTGATCCTTCATCCTTAGACTCTGTATTCTTTTCACTGTTGCAGGGAATAATTTTTCAGGTTTAAAAGTTAATTGAAATAATAGCAACTACTAAGGTACTTCTAGTATTGCAGGACTCATGAAAGACATAATTTTGCACTGTTAAACCATCCTTTCTTCCATAATTTACAGATGTGGTCATCAGGCACTAGTTTTCATTTTGCAAATCAGATTTGCCTGTGCCTAGAGTGGTTAAAGAAGAGTATTAGCTTTATAGTTTTGGCAAATGTGTAGCATATTATGATCTATCATATCTAATAGCATTCACAAGGTGGCAGTATTTCTGAATTTGGAAGAATAAAGCTAGGAGACGCAAAGATTGTAGATTTTCATTAAGGTAATTTAAAGAGAAGATTGGATAAAAGATGGCGAGGTCAAGGCTAGGTAAAAATCTTTAATTAGCAGTTGATAAAGTTCCTTTTAGTTACCTCAGTTTTCTTGCCTTTGTACTTAATCAGGAAGAAGAAAATTTAAATGTGTCATTCTGTGCTTAATTTTTGTAATTATTCTGTCTCTTCACTTTTATTTTTACTACTGTTCTCCTTTTCCATTTGTGTTTGTGTTTGTATGTATCTGTACTTAAAAATTTTTAGTCTCCCTACTCTTTCCTCTAGAGGGAACACTGTGGTATAGAACACTCAAGAATCTAAAATAAAGAAACATACTTTTATGCCTCTTATGTATCAATAGTAGCAAAAGTACACACTAGGAGTACTTTGTTTTTATGGTTAAAATTCCTAAAGATTTCTAGAGTCTACTTTCTCGTTTGTGAGATGAGAATAATTTGAGTACTGTAAGAAACTAGTCACTAAACATTTAAAAATCTGTGAAGTTCAAATTTTAGAGACTCAGATTATTTTTCCACTTGACGATACATATCTCTTTTCATTCCAGACAATTCCTAATTTCCACTTTACATTCAGACATTTCTACCTACATGACTTCATTTTCGGTAGTATATATGAAAACTTACAGCATCACTATTCGGTAGAATGTTCCACGGTGATGGAAATGCCTCAAAATTTGCTCTGTCCAACATGGTAACCACTAGCCACGTGTCACAATTGAGTATTTGAAATGTGGCAAGTACTACCAAGAAACTGAATTTTAGTTTTATTTAATTTTAATCAATTTAGCACTAAATAGACTCAGAACAAGTGACTATGTCTTGGACAACTGAGGTGAGGCTTGAAATGGCATACTCTTTGTGGTTTGAGACAAGCATGTTCTCAAGCATTCTCATATGGCTGAGAGAAGGGGGAATGGTTCTGTTTTAAACTTTGAGTAGTACTTTAATATGCAAGTGAATTTCTGAGTACAAAATGAACTCATGGACGCCTTTTAGTAATAAACTATTTTGAGCTGCATAAATACTCATTGTTATTCAGACTGTCTTTCAGTGTTCTGTTTAGCTGTGAATGACACAGCCCCACTAAACCATAAACTGTCTGTATCTCCAGCACTGGCACAAATCTAGGCACTCAGTTGATTTCTCAGTTTTTTTAATTAGTATAGTCCGAAGTCCTCTGACTTTTTCTTTGCTACATTTTCCCTTATTATTTAACTTCTCACGTGTTTCTTGTCTCTGCAGTAGTATCACTGCAGGAGAGTGAAGAGTTGGTGAGAAAATTCCATCATTTATAATGTTAATAGACAGACCTGACTGTATAGGAATAGGTAAACCATGTTTTTAATCAAAATGAATGAGAATTTTCTAGGTATTAGTTAGGATTAGATTCCACTGTGAGTGATAAAAATCCCAAAATAATCATTGTTTAAACAGAATAGTAGTTTAGTTTTCAGTCATGTGTAAGTCCTGGTGGAATAACCTGCTGTAGGCGGCTATGGGCGGCATGCCACAGGGTCAGAGACCAGGGCTCTTTTCTCTTCTTCCTTTCACCTTGTATAACCTTGACCTCCTGATGTGAGGTGTTGCCCTCCACATCTCCAGCAGCAGCTTGGATGAAAGGACTACAAATAAGGGAACCAAGAGTTCACACACAATGCTTCAAGGGAAGTTTCCGAGAAACTGCCACTCTGGCTGTCGGTAGGCATCAGTCATGTGACTCCTCTACTGCAGAGGAGGCTGGCAGATTTTTTTTTTCCTTTTTTAAATTCTGGGCAGTCACACACCCACCTGAGATCTTATTACCATGGAAGAAATGGGAAGAGGATATTTGGAAGGCAACTAGCTGTCTCTGCTACCTAATTTTTAAAATAATCTTGTGAGTAATTGAGTTGTTTTCTCCTCATGGTGACCTCCAGTTATTCTCATTTTCTAATTTAAACAGTGTGTGTACCCTAAAGTTTCTAGTTTCATTGCAGTTCTACAGTAAAGCAATATTTATATTTTTTCTTTTTTGTGTTTTATTTTCTCTTTTGCTACATTTTTTTTCTGCCCTTTAGTTGGCAATCTCCAACCAGAGATACTGATTTTTAAAAATCAAAATATCAAAACTAGTTCCTGCTGTTATTTCCCAAGATCAATCATTGAGCCAAAAGAGCTAATTAATTTGAGCTGTTCTTTTTAATCTCCTTGGTTCTTGTTTTTAAAACAACATTGGTTGGATGTTTTTAAATGACTCCTCTAAATGTGTAACCTAATAGTCTTCCTCCCGAAACCTTTTTTTGCCTACTCATTTATTTAAAAAATAAATAGGTTGGGCATTGTGGAAATCACAGGGCTTAGAGTGCACATGGTCCCAGCAGAGGGAAGTTAAATAGGTGAGTAGTTGAGCACAACTCTAATTAAGTTGTGGAGCCTGTGTAGTGTGCAGCTGGAGCGAGTACCTGGGATTTGACCTGCTGTGGGGTCCAAGGGAATATTTTTCTGGAGTCCTTGCCAGGAATGGAGAGTGAGGGAGAAGGGAGGCATTTCAGGCAAGAGGACACAATGGAGAGGAGCAGAAAGAGGCAAAACTGCACAGGAAGGCAGGCTAGATCATGGATGCTTTGTAGCTCGTGGTTGAGATTCTCTGCTTTAAATCTAAGCGGAGCAACACTCTAGCAGGCTGTATAAGGAGGAGTGTGAGATGAAGTTTTCCTGCTGAACTCATTCATCTTTACTGCATCCGGTTCCAATGCCACCTCTTCCATGAAGCTTTTCACAAGTTGCATCCCTTCTCTCTGCAGATGACCCTCTCTTGTTCCTCTGATTGTGGAATAAAGTGTCATCGTATCTCTTTCACCTTCCCTGGATCCTGAGCTCCCAGGGTGAACCCATGTTGCTTCCACTCCTACTTAGCCTCCTCCTTTATCCTCTTTTTTGTTGTCCTCTTATATCTCTGTGCAATCTGACCTTCTAGAACCCACCACAGAGCATATAGTAAATGTGTCTAACTCATTTAAAATTATTTCATTATTTATCAACACATAGTATGTCTGTCTGTCTCTGTCTCTCTCTCCTTCCTTCCCTCCCTCCCTCCCTCCCTCCCTCCCTTCCTCATTCTCTCTGTCTCTTTTTAATCCCCGTAGAAATGCAGTCATCAGCATAGTTGCTCCTTTTGGAATCCTCCTTAATCATCAGTTGTGTTTTTCCCTCTCACTTTTAGCAGACCCTTGAGCAGAGTTCTCTTTTAATTCCGGTGAGCTGGCAATAGAAGTATTCCCGCTAAATTCTGTCATTCGTTCATTCATGCAACATGTGGTATGTTTGTTAATGCAAAAATGAAAAAATGGACCACATTCCTTACATTATATATATTATATGTGTGTATATATATTTATAACATAAATATATTCAACATTTCTTACATTCTAGTGGGAAACAGAGCTTAAACAAATGACTGCATATTTGGAAGGAAGCAATACTGTGAAGAAACCTAAAGTAGCATGAAGAGAGAAAGCTTAGTGGGAAAGGTCGTTTCAACATCTTGTTTTCTGCCTTTGTTGATGGAGTGTTCTTAGTTGCTTCAAATATGTTTTCAGTTAAATCCTGTAGGGTCCAGTACCTCTCTGAGAGGTGACTGAATACAGCCACCAGTAAGTTCTAAGGAGATTTGTTTTTTGTTTGTTTTATTTTTAAAGAAAGGGAGTGGAAAAATTCCTTCAAGTTTACATGTTTAAGTGACTCTTACCATTTGTTCTTATTTGGTAGCCCATAGTAACATTTTTACCCTGCTTTAATTGAAGGCTCTTGAGATCTGTCAACAGAGGAACTTTGTAGAAGAGACAGTTTATCTTCTGAGTAAGTAACTTTTATTCATGTTGGTCCCCATAAACTAAGAAATAAGGTTACAACTTGATGTAAATTATATAAGGATGGACATAGGTTTTAGAGCAAAGTAACACAGAAGTTTGAGTCTGTTTTGTATAAGAATTTAATATATGCAAATAGACTCCACAGCATGGTAAAGAAGAAAGTTGTTTTTATAAATGCTGTAGAAATAATGTGTTAGTAATGTATAATAAACAAAACTTTATTTGTTCACACCTCACTACATAAATTAAAATAAATTGTAGATGGCAAGTTTCAGCTTTTTAAAATTATAACTAGTATAAATTAAAAATTATGAGCCATTTATATAACTGTCATATTGGTATGAAATAAATAATCTTTATTTTCAGAAATCACACCCTGAATAACTGGAGGAAGTACAATTGGATACCAAAGTTTTGGGGAAGCAGGAATGCTTTTTAATGTACTCTACCCAGAAATTGTTCCTGGTCTTCTGGTTCCTACCTCAAAGTGTCATAGTTTTTGTATCGTGCATACTAAAAAACAAAACTTACTATCTTTTCAAATTCCTCCAAAATAAGCCTCATGCGTGAGAGCAACGTAGATTTTGCTGAGGATTTCATAAGGAAGCTTTATGCAGATATCTGCAGCGTGCAATGTAGTGTTCATGTTTGATGTTTCTCCAGCATCACTTCCCCACCTACCTCTATGTTTCCGCCTTACACCTTTCCCTCATATGGCACTCTCCCTCACTGGTTCCTTTGCTTCTGTTGAAAAATAATCCTCCGGGTTCGGTGGCTCGGCCTGTAATCCCGCGCTTTGGGAGGCCAAGGTGAGTGGATTGCCTGAACCTGCGGGTTTGAGACCTGCTTGGGCAATTTGGTGAGACTTTATCTCTACAAGAAATCAAAAATTAGCTGGGCGTGGTAGCGCACGCCTGTAATTCCAGCTACTCGGAAGGCAGGCAAGGCTGCGGTGGCCGGGAGTGGCCACTGCACTCCAGTCTGGGCAACAGAGTGAGACTCCAACTCAAAAAAAAAGAAAGAAAAGAAAAGAAAAATGATCCTTATCTTCTATTCTCATTTATGCATATGTAGACTCATGGGTACTCAGCAAAAAATCAGAATTATTCAGGTATAGGACCTACAATTCATAGAAGTGCTTTGGGACTGTATTTTATTACTTGAGCATATGCTTGGACTTCTAATCACAACTTCAAGTAGCTCATCAATTTATTAATTTCAGTGCTTTCCTCAAGAAATATTTTGGAATAAATGTTTGTCATATTGTATTAGAAGCAGTAGAGAATTTATGAGTCTGATTATAAGAAACTTTAAAATCCTATACACAATTTTTAAAAATTTACCTTTTTTAAAGACATAAACTGTGAAAATAATATTTGCAAGAAAAACAAAATGCTGTATATGGGTATAAATTGGGACATCATTTTATTCACAAGCCAGCTGTTACCAGTTGATAATGGCTGCCCACGATGAGAAGGAGTCATGATCCTTTACTAGTTCCTGCACTGACCAAGGGACAGGGAAAAGCAATTGTTGCTGTCCCTTCAAAGTCTTAGCTTTGAATGTGAAGGTGTTGACATATATATCTCTCTAGAATCTGACTTTCCTGCTATTTAGTAGCTGTATGATTTTAGCAAGTTACTAACATTTCTATTTCTTCTGAAAATTAGAAATATTAGTAAAACACACCTCCTAGGATTGTAATGATGATTAAATGATGTAATTCATGTGAAGCACTTGAGTGAGTATTCAGCACAGAGTCAACATCCACTAATAGGAGAGATTTTACTGTGTTATAGATAGTACATGCTGATGTCACGTGAGAAGATATAGTTTTGTCTTAGTTTTCAAATTGTATAAACAAAGATAGACTATTTATTTTAAAGATGTTTATTAAAATATCCCAATTGAACTCTTTCTCACATTCTCACTCCACCTAGGCCGAATGGGTAACAGCCGAAGTGCCCTGAAGATGATTATGGAGGAATTACATGATGTTGATAAAGCAATTGAATTTGCCAAGGAACAAGATGATGGAGAACTCTGGGAAGATCTTATTTTATATTCCATTGACAAACCACGTAAGCAGAAAAGCTATCTGTGATTATAACTTTTTTTCTCAATGTAGCCAGTTATATCTAGAGTAAGAATTATCTCAAGATACATTGGGTTAAAAATTTGACAAAGTATCTACAGTGATAATAGACCAGCTGTGTTGTAATGATTTCTGATGTTCTTCTTGTGCTTGAAAGTTGGGAGCCTCATCACTTTGCATTACCTGAAAGTGACAAAGACCAGGTAGATACACAGCTTATTCTTTGTGTTCCCATGAGACATATTTTTACTTATTGCAACCAAATTGAATAAATGTCATCTGGGTTGATCTGACTTGGTTTGGCTTTTGCTTTTAGTTTGTATATGGGAGCATTTATTTTGAAAGTATATAGCCCTTAGCAGTCTCTTTCTGGAAACATATAACTGTTACTGGATGTTGATCATATTTGGATACTTACATTGTAGTTTTTAGTCTCTTTCCTGCTCTATTTTCTCAGTGCAGCACCAGGAGTTTGTATTTGTTGACCTTGAGCTTGACCATTTGCTGTATGTCTCCCATTTTGGAAGGAAAAAAACAAAAGCAGTCACCCAACAGAAACCCAACTTCTGTTTCAAAGATAACTAGCAATGATGGGTTAAAATCTCCCTTATCCTTTTTTCTGTAACTACCTTAATCTTAAATTGAATGTAATTACTTTATCCTCCTGAAAATATAAGGAATCTGGTTTAGCATGATAAAGTAGTAGTTTAAGGATCTTAAGAGACAAAGTGGTATAGCAGACACATCCTATACTTTTAGTTCTGGCCTGGGTTTGAATTTGGGCTCATTACTTGCTAGCTGTGTGAACTTAGTTAAATTAAACACTTCATTTTCCTTCTTTGTAAAATGGGGACACAACATTCCTACTTTGCAAAATATTGGAGACAAGTGTGTGACTGCTGTCATAGTATATTCTCAATAAATATTAATTGCACTCCCTTGACATTTGAAACTATTTGAAGGCAGACAATCATTTGTTCAACCATTTAAAAATACTTCTCAGTTGTTTCCCTTTGTGTCTTAAAGAAAATTAGTTCTTGAAAGGTTACTTCTTGAGAGTTTAGAAATTAAAATCATTTTAACACTTCAAAGTGTTTTCGAGTTACTTTTGCTTTAAAATTGCATTATGTACAAATTATATGCAAATAAAATTGCACTATAACATTGCTTATATGTTAATGATTTTATATGGTATTTTGTAGCATTTATTACTGGCTTGTTAAACAACATTGGCACGCATGTTGACCCAATTCTACTGATTCACCGTATTAAGGAAGGAATGGAGATTCCCAATTTGAGAGATTCCTTGGTTAAGATTCTACAGGATTACAATTTGCAGGTAAGTATCCTTTTTTGGACAAATAATCATGCTGAATGAGTTGATTTCTAGGGTTTATGTTAGATATGTTAAAAACTTTCTTTTTTTGAGTTGGAGTCTCACTCTGTCACCCAGACTAGAGTACAGTGGCCGCTCCTGACCACTGCAGCCTCAGCCTGCTGGGCTCTGGCGATCCTTCTGCCTCAGCCTTCCAAGTACCTGGAATTACAGGCGCACGCTACCACGCCTGGCAAATTTTTTATTTATTGTAGAGATGAGGTATCGCCAAGTTGCCCAGGTGGGTCTTGAACCCGCGGGCTCAGGCAATCCACTC